TTCTGAAATAATTTATTCTCAAGTCTTTACGAACCTTTATTCTCTTTTCATCATTAACAGAATTTATAAACAAATTACAATTTATGAATTCTGATTTGTAATTTTTGTATTCCCCCCCCCCCTCCTAAATTCTGATTTAATTTTTAAAATTAAATAAAAATATCCACAGATTTATTCCCAACACCAATATCACCACAGCCATTAACTCCATTAGATAAACAACGACTTTTTAATGAAGGAGAGGAAGAAGAAGATTTATTAATTCAACATCGAAATACTTCTCCAGTACATGTAGATGCGTTAAGGGATTTAACTATTACAATGTTGGGACCTGCTGTTGGAGGGTAGTTTTTTAGAAAAATTATTTTTTTGTTTTAACGAATTAAAAAAATTGTAAGTTTAGTCTTTTTATCCTTTAGATTTTTTTAAATTTATCAAAAAATTTGATAAATAAAAATATTAATTGATCATCTATTTTTTTCATTTCAAACAAATTATTATTTAATTAAATAATAATCTGCTAGCGCATAAAATTATTTAAAATAAATTTAAAAAATATCTAAGATTTTATCATTCGGGTTTAATTTTGCGTTTTGCGATAAAATTGTAAATAAAAATGCTTATATGTATGTATATAAAATTATTGAGATTAATTTTACATTTTCTTAAATAATATTACTATTTAATATTTGGATAATTTTTATATTATAAGGAAAATTTTTTATTTATTTTTAACTTTATTATTTTTAAATATTTTTGTTTTTTTTTTGTAATTTTTAAATTATATTTTAACACAATTTATTACTAGTTAGGACATTAAAATGTCTCAAAAAATCCAACAAAAAATATTTTCCTGTCAAAATAAATTTTTTTTTAAACAAAACAATTTACTAACCTTTCACTTCCAATTTATAATTTTCTTATCTTCTTACCTTTTTATATTTTTTAATTGTTTTTTACTGCTACATAATTACTTATCTTCACTCAATCACCAAAAATTACTTTATTTTTTTCTATAAAATTTTATATTTTTTCTATAAAATTCCCAAAAATTCTTTCCAATTTTTTTTTAAAAATATTCTTAATTAAATAAAAATGAATATTTTTAATATTATTTTTGCTGATAATAATTATGACTATAAAAAAGCATATGTGCAACCAGGGAGACTTCAACTTTTATATTATACTTATTTATGGAGAAGAAGAGATAGGTAGATAGATTTATTTTGATTATAATTCCTCAATTAATTAAATTCTGATTTTTAATTCTGATTTTTAATTCTAATTGGTAAATTCTGATTTGTAAATTCTGATTTAGAAATTCTATTAAATTCCGGGTTGTAAATTTTGATTTGTTAATTCTGAATTTGAATTGTAACTTCTTATTTTTCTTATTTTGGCTGAAAAATTTTGAATAAAAATTCACAAACCTCAATTCTAGTTTATATTATAAATTCTGATATTTAAATTTTAATTTATTTTCTAAATTGTAAAATATTAATTCTGTTTTACATATTCTGAATGGTCTAAATATTTATTATTTTGTTGAGCAAATTGCTGACCGAAACTTGCGGACTCACATTTGTTCCTTTTTCATAATATTTTAATAATTTTTAGAAATAAATTCAAAAATTAATTTTTAATTTATTTTATGTTTAACAATCTGGCTTTTAAAAATTTATTTTATTTCTTAACTCATTTCAAAAAATTTTTTCTCCAATTCCTTTTCACACCTTCTTTCTGACTTTTTCACACATCTCTCTTAAAAAACTACTTTTCAAAACAAATTAATTATAAAAAAATAAAACAAATAATAAATAAATAAAAAATTTATTTATTTAACCTTTTTTTAAATTTGTCGAAATTCAATCTTTTATTAAATTTCCCTTCAAAAAATTTTTTTTCTTTTCTCTTTAAATTTTTCAACTTTTCTTCACCTCTAAATTTATTTAAAATTCTAAAAATGAATCGTTATTGTCGGCATCATTCCCCTCGCCCCAAATTGTCCAAAAAACGTCAAAAACAACAAAAATATCCTTTAAAAATTGGGACATTAAATAAAAAATATAAAACAAAATTTAACTCTAATAAAATAAATAAAAAATTAAATTATTTTTTAAATGACAAAAAACATATAGAAGAGCGGTCTCGAATATTAGAATTAAAAGATTCACTTGAACAAATTTATTTAGCTTTTATTTGGAACAGAAAATGGTAAATAATTATTTTCTTAATGGAATATTCTCAAAATTATTGTCAGAATTTTTAATTGACATTTATATATCGACAAATAATACTTATAATTAAGTTGATTTCCATATTATTTAAATAAGAAAGAGTTTAGCAAAAGTTTAGCCACCGCGCAAGATTCGAACTTCCAGTTATTCCTAGGCGCTTTCGCTCAACACATACTTTAATTGCTCTAGGTGAATCATCCTTACAAATATTAAATTCGAACTTAAGTATAATACTTATCTGATTGATTTTTATATTATATATATAATTCTGATTTATAATTTTCTGGGTTGTAATTACCAAGGTTGCCCACGACCAGGGATGGCTTTGGATGAGAAAAAAGTCGTTTCGGGGTCCGGATCGGGTCGGGTTTGATTTGTTAATTTTTATTCTGAAATTTCCATTAATTTTCAAAATTTTGAGTTAAAAAAATTAATTTCACTAAATTCTGGTTTTTAATTTTTCTTAATTTTTATTTCTGTTATTTTTTAAATTATTATTTTTCATTTGAGAATTTTCTATTAAAATTTTATTTATAAGATTTAATTAAAAATTTCATCATAATCTAAAAATACTTTTTAATTAATATATTATTTTACAAATCTTTTTATTTCCATTATAAACCAAAACAAAAAATAGTACATAAATATATATGTAAATACCCCGCAGGCTGTTTTTGGTGCTTTTAACGGCTCATAGCTTTAAAGTTAAACAAAAAAAACAAGCAAAAAAGTGTTATTTTTTACTTAATCCTTTGCTTTTATTTATTTTTTTATTTTATTTTTAGTTACTAATTTTAAATATTTTTTAGTAAAATTAATTATTGTTCTATAAAAATTAGAATAATAATTACTATGATTTGTACTTATTTTATAAGTAAATACAAATCGGCCCTTATGCAAAAGGGCCGATTTGTAAAAAAATCGGCCCTATTCGTAGCATTCTCAATAGGGTTGTAGGTTCTGGACCGACCCGAACCGAACCGAAAAATCCTCGGTTATCCAAAGAATTACAGGAACATACAACCCTAATTCTTACATATTTTTGCAAATTTTCTTTTTTTTATTTAAACTTAACATTTTTCTCGATTGGAGCCTTAATTAAAATTCTAATATAATTTTAAACGAAATTTAATTATAATTTCTTTTTTTTTTCACAAAATTCTTAAATATTTTGTAATTATTAATATTTAAATATTTTATTTTTTTGTTTGCAAAATGTCTTCCTTTCAAGTATATTTATTAAGTATATAAAAAATATATTTGCAGCATATTTTTCTTTTTTTTCTTGCCATCATTGACAGCCTTCCCCCTCACCCACCAACTAACTAACCAAAAACGTCAATGCCCCTGGGCGCTCATAAAGCAGTAGAAAAAGGTTCGATTCCACTCATCCAAGAGCTTTATACAATTTTTTTTTCTTGCAAAAAAGGCGGCATATAACATTTCTTTTATAGAAAAAAAGAGAAAAGAAAATTTTCTAGTTTTGTTTCATTGTTTGTGTCAATACAAGGAGAAGATTAATGTTAACGTAGTAGTTGCTAGTTGCCTTCACAAACTATCAATTAGTGTTTTTTTTCAAAAATTATTTTCTTATTTTTAAATTGAATTTAAAATTTAAAATTATTATTCTGACAATTTTTTAAAATTATTAATTAAAATATGGGTAGTAGGGATCTTTCAGAATTCTAAAAATCTTTTAGATATAGTTTTTATTCTAATTAAAAAAATTATTTTATTTTTAAGATTCGTAATTTTAGGTTAATGAAGGATAATAAGCAATTTTGTAATTCAAAAATTTAATTAGCGAGCTTTTAGCGAATTAATTTAAATTATTAATTTATAATTTTTAATATTTTCTGATTTTTTAATCTATTTAACTTATTTGCCAAATCCAAATAAATTCAAAAGAAATTTTCTATTAAAAACTCGACAATAAAAATATGCCAAACGAATATTTTTATTAAATAGATTTTTTTTATTTTTTAAAAAAATCTAAACGGAGCAAAAAAACTAAAGAGAATTGCCACTTAAAAAAAACAAACATAAATTTATTCATTAAAAGATTTTTTTATTTTCAAAAACTTTTAATGTAAAAATATTATTTTTGGATTTTCTTCCTATTACTTTTTATAATATAAATTATAAAATAAGTCGGATATTTAAATTTAATTGTAGGTTTGCACTCCAAACGCTCGGGAACGGGTATGTAGGTGTATGGGGTTTTCGAATTGTTCCGGGGCGGGGTTCGGGTCGTGGAAATTTTGAAATATTCTTTCTGGAACTACACAACATGACCAAGACCGAAAAACCCCAAGAAAAGTCTTGAATCGAGACTCAAGACCAAGAGTCTTGGACATCTCTAGTGGGTAACATGGTTGTTAAATCTTCTGACTCTGATTACAGCCGCATAAAGTTTTTTCGATTTCGGACAGCCTTTTGGATAATTAGTTAAAGGGGTAATTAATTTATAAAGTAAACTCTACTACGCCAATTTAAAAGTGAAATCCAAAAAAATATAAGAATTATAATAATTTGGCAATTAAGCTTCAATTAAACTACTAAGTCATTTAATAAATTTATTTTTTCCTTCAAAAATGTATTATTTCGTGCCAAATACACTCACAAAATATATTTTTTAAGCCTATCTAAAGCTTAAATCCTTTTTTATTTTTTATATAATTTTATTTTTATATTTTTTTTATTTTCTTCATTTAATGTTTGTAGAATGTTTTTGACAAATAAACTTCTTTTTTGAGTAATATAATGATGAGTAGGCGCCGTTCGCGTGCCGGCTCTTTAGCGCATTTAAATCCTAGCCCTACAGCTAGCGGCGGATATTCAAATTTGAGAAATTCCTCGACAAAAATGCATCATATAGGCATTGATCAAATTGCAAGGTTTGGAAATTTTGGGAAAATAAATTTAGTAAATTAATTTTTAAAAAATATTTTTGTCTGGTTTTTATTCTTTAAAGGGCATTTATTTTTAAATTTATTTTTTCTATTTTTAATTTAGCTTTTTTTTGACCTATACATACTTTAACAATTTTGTTATGTTTATCAATAATATCAAATAATTTAATTTTAATTTAAATAATTTTCAATTTAAAATAAATTAAAAAATAAAAATTTTTTATTTTAAAATATTTTTTACTTAAATTTTGGGAAATATATTCAAATTTATTAAAAAAGTATTTTTGTCTATTTTTATTTTTATTTTTATTAGAAATTCCCCGATAAAAATAAATACAAAAAATACATTTAATTTAAATTACCTAAATTTTAAAATAATTAAACTAAATAATTATTAATTAAATAATTAAAGGACTAAAATTTGTTAACAAAAATTCAATTAAATCTTTTAAATTAATTAAAATTTTTTTATTAAAGTTTCTGAACTTTTTATTAAAATTTTTTTATCCAACTTAAGGTTAGCGGCAGAAGAAGCACGAAAAGAACAGCAACGACAGGCACAAGAAGGATTTGGTGCTATTGGCAGGAAAGCTGGTGGATTGGGGGGAAAGGAAAAGGTGTTTATTTATTAAGTAAAATCAGAATAAATAAATAATTCTGATTATTTTTTATCAAAAAAAAACAGAAAATTAATTATTTAGGTTGTTCTGATTTTATCTGGTAATTGTGCACATATAGTATAAAATACACCAAAATTATTATCAGAATTATCTTATTTATGAGAAATGTTTATAACAGAATACCTACAGTTTGTTTTCGTGTTTTGTTTGTATTTTTTAGCAATCAGAATATTTTAACCCAGAAGATAGTTGCACTTTTAGTCGAAATATTATTTTAATTTTTTAATTAGGGCCCTTCATCATTGTTCATCTTCAGCGAGGAGAATATTATTCGACGCAATGCGTAAATTATAAAAAAAAAATTTTAAATTTTTATAAATTTTTTAGCAAAGCTATTATTGAATGGGGACCTTTTGAATTTTTTATTCTTGTAAGTTATATAAATATTTTTTAATCTTCAAATTTAATTATTTTAATTAATATTTAAATATTTTTTTAATTTTTTAATTTTTAAAAAAAATTTTTTAAAGGTTACAATTATTTTAAATTGTGTTGTGCTTGCTATGGAACAGCATTTACCTAAGTAATATAAATACTAAAGCTTTAATTTTGGGGTTTACTTAGGAGATGGGATTCGGTGGTAAACCCCAAAACCCGGCTTTTTCAACATATATCATAGTCATGGTCAAGCCTTGAGTTGAATTTTGTATAAAATTGAGTCAAAACTAAGATTATTTGCTCATTATGAACTACTAAAAATTTTAAGAAAATTAGCCAATACATATAGGACTTTCAAAATTATTTAATTTTACGCTCTTGTACTTATTAATTGCCTTTTCTTACGTCCCTGCACCCCACCCTTGGTCCGAACATAAAATAATATTTTTTGAAAATTAATTATTTTATAGGAACGACAAAAAACCAATGTCAGAAAAATTGGTGTGTTTTTTGAATTAATTTTCTAACATTTCCTCCCATTCTTTTTAGGAGAAAACAGAGCCAATATTTATGGCCATATTTTGTATTGAATGTGTTTTAAAAGTTATAGCATTTGGATTTGTTATGCATAAAGGATCTTATCTTAGATCTGGATGGAATATTATGGATTTTATTGTTGTTGTTACTGGGTGGGGAATTTTGTTTTGATTTTTAAATGGAAATATTTAAATTTTAATAATTTTAAATAAATAATTTTGAAAAATAAATGGAATAATAAATCAGAAATATTTTGTATTTTTTTAAAATTTTATTTCTGATTCTCTATAGAGATATTAACAAAGTACCGTAATTTTTTTGAGACCATGTAAATTATCTTTTGCTTGAGATAACTTTTAAATAATCAGAATATTAATTATTATCTTATTATGATTCTCAAAATAAATTTAAATTATAAATAATAAATATGCCTATGTCTAAAATAATTAGTAATTTCTCCTTGGGTTCTCTTTTGTGTTGGATGTATAATTCGAATCCAAAAACTTTATTTAAAAAAATATTTTTTAATTTTAATTCATAAAACTTTTTTGCGAATTAAAGAGTCCTCACAATGATGCCTTTCTCTCCATCTGGAGGTGATAAATCTGAAGGGGTTGATTTACGAACATTAAGAGCTGTTCGAGTATTAAGGCCTTTAAAATTAGTTAGTGGAATTCCTAGTAAGCTTTTTTCTTTAAATGATTTGAAAATTAAAATTTAATTAACAAAAGGTTTACAAGTTGTTTTAAAGTCAATTTTATGTGCAATGGCACCTCTCCTTCAAATAGGCCTTTTGGTGCTTTTTGCAATTGTTATTTTTGCAATTATTGGATTAGTAAGTAAAAATAATAATTTTTATTTAATTAAATTACAGCTAGCCCTCGATATAATAGACAGGCAATACTAGATACTCTCTATTTAAAATACCTTTTAAAAATTTAGATGTTTAAGTAGGGTTGTTCCCTGTTTGGGGAGGGAGTTTCTGATTGAGGACTGGGGCCAACGAGTAATTTTCAAAAAGTCAAATTCCCTGAGTCGAGGACGAGGAACAAATCTATGCCTAAGCAATGCAACTATAATATAGATAAACTCATTATAACGAGGTCCGGCTGTATGTAAATTAACCAACAAACAAAAAAATTAATTCTTTAAAGGAATTTTATTCCTCTGCCTTCCATGCTGCTTGCTACAATGAATTTGGAGAAATTGTTAATTTAAGTGAAAAACCATTTCCTTGTTCTAATAAATCTGCCTCCACAGGAGCTTATAATTGTGATGTGGTAAAGGAAATTTTGAAAAAATATGTTTTCAAAAAAATTTTTCCAAGCCTGGTGCTATTTGTTTAAGCCAATGGATTGGCCCAAATTATGGAATTACTTCTTTTGATAACATTGCCTTTGCAATGATTACAGTCTTTCAATGTATTACTATGGAGGGGTGGACAACAATTATGTATTATGTGAATGACTTTAATTTGTTATTTAATAAGCTTAATTTTACCTTAATTTAATTTAAACGCCTAAAATTATGCCACAAAAAAGCTCCCAACCACCGTAAATTCTCTAATAATTATCGTTGGCAATTATTGTCTCGATCTTTCGCTGTAAGGGGAAATTAATAGAATGGGAGGGGGTAATTATTTAAGAGAGGATAACTTATAGAGCATTTATGTAAATGTCAATAGAAAAATATTTAGAGATCAAGTCTAAGGGCCTTGAACAGCTCTAATAAATTGGAAATAGTAGTTGGATAGTGTTTTTCCCTAAATTTTTAAAATTTCATCCATCCCCTTTCTCTTAACATTTTTATATCTCTATCAGTTTTCAACAATATTTTTTTAATTATTTTGTTAGACAAATGATTCATTGGGAAGTACTTACAATTGGGCATATTTTATTCCTTTAATTGTTCTTGGTTCTTTTTTTATGCTTAATTTAGTTCTTGGTGTTCTTTCTGGTGAATTTGCTAAAGAAAGGTTTTGAAAGATTATTTTTTGGAAAAAGTTTCTTTAAAGAGAAAGAGTAGAAAATAGAAGAGAATTTTTAAAACTTCGTAGAATGCAACAAATTAATAGAGAATTGGAAGGGTATATTGAATGGATATTTGCGGCTGAAGATGTTATTTTACAGGAAGAAAGGACAACTGATGAAGAAAGGGTTACTATTATGGAAGGTAGAAATTTTTTTGGATTAATATAAGCTGTTGTAATTGCTTATAAATAGTTTATGTTGTTTTAGATGTATCTACTATCCACTAAAAATAATTAGGAGGTTATCGTCTCCATAGGGAAGTATATGGGTTGAGATCAGTGCTGGATATAGTTATGGGACTAGTGTTTAAACTAGAGGTCGGCAAAATCGCGTTTGCGGGGTCCCACGTGATAAAATTTTTTAATTCTTTGCGGGACGGGATCCCGCGGGGTAAATCCCGCAAAATCCCGTAAATCAGAAAAGGTGCGGGATTACGGGAGCGGTCCTGTCCCGCGCCGACCTCTAGTTTAAATACAAAGTTAACCTCCCTTTCTAATCAACATATTCTCCCATTTTGAGGTTTTCGCGATCTTATCAGTAATTAAACAGTTTTTAAAAATTATTTTAAGCTCGTCGCCGTGCCAATAAAATGATACAAAAAGAAGGAGGTATAGGGAAACAAACAAGTGTGGAAACTGAAGAAGAGGAAGAAGAAGAAGATGGGGAAGAGTATGATAATGATCAAGATGATGATTTAGTTGTAGATAATAGACTTGGAAATAATAGATTGGGCGCTGATAATATGTAAGGCGAAATTAGTAATTTAAAGATAAAAAAAATTAATACAGAATTATTCTATTAATTAATAATAAAATTATTAAAATATCTAAATAAATAATTAAAAAAATCTTGATAGTATTAATAAGTAGAGACCGGATTTTTATGCAAATGCATATTTTTTTTGCAAACTTTACATGATGTGTAATGCACAAAAACACTGTTTCCGCATGTTTTGAAAACTTTAAAGGGGGTTTCTATTTGCATATAATGCATATTTTTGCATATTCCGGACTTTGATGCATAATGCATATTTTACTGCATATTTTTAGGTTTTTGGGGAAAATAACTCGAAAATTGCCCAAAATCCTGCCAAAAAAGTGAAAATTTTGTAAAAAAAATTTTTTGTGTTTTTTGGGTTCGCCAAAAAATGGCCACATGCATAATGTCTCAACCCCAAATGTCACACCCCAAAATGTCCCACCACCAAAATACCTCATCTCAAAATGTCCAATAGCGTAAAAATGCTCAAGTTGTCGAACTATACATTTAATATAGGATAAATCTTAATAAAAAATGGGTGTTGAAATCATTTTGACTAAAAATATGTAACATTTTTAGGTATAAATTATATTTTTCTTGCATATATGCGTGCATATTTTTGTTTACTTGCATATTTTTGTGCATATTTTGGCAATTTTTTATGCATATTATAGTGCATATTTTGCATTTTTTAATGCATAAAAATCCGGTCTATATTAATAAGGCTTCATTGTACGTTACCAGAATAAACCAAAAGTTAATTGACTTAATGCAGGAATGGTAACATACATTTTTCTATCTGAAACCTGTGCCAGATTTTTATCACTCTAACCACCTCTAACGTACAGTCTGAATCCAACTTTATCAGAATTTAAAAACGAAAACATTGATAATTCTGTTAATCATTTTACAGTTTTTCTGATTTCTAGGTACCTCAATTCACATACTCTTCCAATTCGAGGACGTATAGATTCTTCTGCTGATGTTGGGTAATTTTTGGAAAACTTAATTTTATTTTTATTAATTTTAAAAAAATAAAGAAAGAAAATGACAGTTTTATTTTTTTCTTCCTCCTTTTGGCATAGAAAAATGCGACGTATACGTGTTTGTTTGAGACATGTTGTTAAATCACAAATTTTTTATTGGAGTGTAATTACTCTTGTTTTTCTAAATACTGTTTGTGTTGCTTCTGGTTTGTAATTATTTAATAATATATAAATTATTTATGCAATCAGAACACACTTTAATTGGCTGCAGATTCTGTGCTACAGAATCTGTGTTCTGTGCACAAAACAATTAAATAGGCACCAGAACACACCTTAAGGTCACATTTGGGGATCAACTTTGTACCTTATAATGAGGATTATATATTAAATAGAATGTAGTGGGTAACCTGAAAACTCCCTACAATTAAATAGAGAGTATCACTTAATCAACGCCCTTATCAAACGGCGCCCTTAATTAAAGTATCCTAGTGTGTATCTTCGTATTCATAAGTTCTTTAAAAAATTACTATTATTTTTTTATTTCGATTTCCCTCTATTTTTAATTATTTTTGAGATTAAAAAATAATCTAATTTATAGAACACTATGGCCAACCTGAATGGTTTACTGAATTTTTAAGTATTTTCGAATTAAAATTTTTTAAATATTTTTTTAATTTTCTAGAATATGCAGAATTTACTTTTCTTGCAATTTTCATTAGTGAAATGCTTATTAAAATATTTGCAATGGGTTATAGAACATATTTTACATCCAAGTATTTTTTAGATAATTCTCTCTTTGTTGTATATGAATCTAAAAATTTATTTTTAAACCTATGACCAATGGGATTTAGATAGGGATATCCCTAATCAGTCATATGTATCCCTCCTCGTGTTTAATACGAGTTAGATCAAATAAAAGTAAGAGCGAGTTAAAAGTTTAATCCCGGGCAGGCTTCGATCCTGAGACCTCCTGGCAGTTATGCTAGGCGCTTTCGCTCACCACGTGCAGGTGCCCTAACAACTTTTTTAATAGATCTTAGACTCATGCATAGTGAGCGTTTTAAATGCTAGCCAGCTTGATCTTTCACTTCCTTACATAAATTAACTAAATTCTTTAAAACAAATATATTTTTATAAAGATTTAATCGTTTTGATTGTATTGTTATTGTTGGGTCTGCTATTGAAGTAGTATGGGCAGAAGTGAAAGGAGGATCTTTTGGGTAAATTCGAAAAAAATAATAGTATTATATTTTCTTATCAATTTCGAATTAAAGTATTTCTGTTCTTCGAGCACTCAGACTTCTTAGAATATTTAAATTAACTTCCTATTGGTTAAGGTAAATAAAAAATTTTCCCAGAAATTTTTCTCAAAAAAATTTTAAGCCTTCGAAATTTGGTTCGATCATTGTTACATTCAATGCGTTCAATTATTTCACTTCTTTTCCTTCTCTTTCTTTTTATTGTTATTTTTGCATTGTTGGGAATGTAAAGATTAAATTTAAATAAAAAATTAAAAAAATAATATTTTAAGGCAATTATTTGGTGGAAAATTCAATTTTCAAGTATCTAACTTAAATTTAATTGTGTTTAATTCATTAAAAAACTTTCAGAATTATCATCCTTATACTCATTTTGATACATTTCCTATTGCATTAATTACTGTCTTTCAAGTAATTTTTTATAATCAGAAAACCAACCGTGAGTCTGATAAATTCCCCGATATCATGATCCACTAGTGAGTCAAGTCTCTAAAATAACATCTAAATTAGTTACTCATCAATTTAGGATACTTTTAAATTACCATGTGGAGGAGAGAAAATGATACCTCCTATCTAAGTATTTCCTCGTTCCTAAAGTTGTCCTAGTCTTATGTTTCGATTGATAAAATCGGGCGAGGACATGATTTCGCCTAAAATTTCGTTGATTGAATTAGTGATTTTTCTCTATTTCGCTCTAGATCTTGATCTCTCTTCAAATCCTTTCTCTAATAATTTAAAAAACATTTTCACCCTTCAGATATTAACTGGCGAAGATTGGAATGAAGTTATGTATTTAGCAATAGAATCTCAAGGAGGTATTTATGGAGGTGGAATGGTTTATTGTATTTATTTTATTGTTCTTGTACTTTTTGGAAATTGTAAAAAAATTTAAAGAAAAAATTTTTTCGAAAAACAATTTTAGACACATTATTAAATGTTTTCTTGGCTATTGCCGTAGATAACTTGGCTAATGCACAAGAATTAACAGCTGCTGATGAAGTAGGAAATATACCTATATCTCCTTTATCGTTTGCTAACTTTCATCGAGTTAGCAACCTGCTTACTCGATTCACAAAAATTTTTAACTTTAAAAGCCCCCTTAAGATGGGGACGTTCCAATGTATAAAACGGCACACGGACACTCCCAGGGATTAGAGATTAAGCCTTGGTAGATGAGCTTAAGCCTAAGAAAAAATCTTTCTATGCCATTTTGAGTTAATGACGAGTGGGAATGTTTCGACAATAAAGTCGATTCTATGAGGATTTAATGATAATCTAGTGAATTCACGTAAATTCACGATCCGGTATTGAAATTACCAGAAAAAGATGTGATAAACAATAAAATATTTTTTATTTGTCTTTCTTTTAGAAATCCAATTTGTGTCAAATTGGGTAGTTAAAGAAGAAAAAATTTTATAATAAATTTTGAAAGACAATTTTGAACAGTTTTGAAGAACATAAATTCCATTAACCAACAATAATTATTTATAAAATTAGCATTTTTATTATTAAGGCAGATGAAAAGGCTAATGAAATGTATGACGAGGAAGACGAATCTTTAGGTGGAAGAACTAAATTTTTAAATAAAAAATATTAAAAAATTTTATTTTGAAGGTTTCGATGAAAGAGATTTAGAAATAGGTGCTGGTATTGATGTTGAATTAACTAGAGAATTGGATGGTAATCAAATTAATTGAAAAAAAATAATTTAAATAAAATTAAAGATGAGGAATTTGATGAAGAAGACAGCCCATTTGGCGGTCCAAAACCAATAGTTCCTTATTCTTCAATGTTTATTCTTTCACCAACCAATCCGTTCCGGTGTCTTGTACACAGCGTTGTAGCTACAAAATATTTTGAAATGGTTTTGAATTTTAGCTTAAAAACTTTAGTTTTAATCTAGAATAGTAAATTTAATTTACTTACTAAATTAATAATAATAAATTAATATAAAAATTAATTATAATAAATAATTAATTATTAATTAATTATTAATAAATTAATAATTAATTATTAATAAATTAATAATTAATATTAATACCCCGGGCAGGTATCTATCCATGTTACCCCCTAGTAATTTATTGCTATGGGCTTCCGCTCAAAACATTAAGTGCTTTACCGATTAAGACCCGGGACGCTTCTTTTACCTTCTCTTTTATTATAGTATCGTAAACCCCAGACTAATAAGCGGTTTGAATGCTAACCAGCTGGAACTCACATCCTTGGAATATTTATAATTTAGGTTGTGATGGTTGTAATTTGTGCTTCAAGTATTTCTCTTGCAGCGGAAGACCCTGTTGACGATGAAAATCCTCGCAATAAAATTTTACAATATTTCGATTATTGTTTTACTGGGGTTTTTGCATGTGAAATGTTATTAAAGGTGAAATAAAAATATATTTAATAAGATAAGAAGAAATTTAAACTAATTTTAGTTGATCGATCAAGGTGTTATTTTACATCCAGGTTCCTATTGCCGTGATTTTTGGAATGTTTTGGACGGCGTTGTTGTTGTTTGTGCTCTTATAGGATTTGCATTTTCGTAATAAAAAATTTTTTTTAATTACATATTACTTTAACAAAAATATACTTTAATTTTCAGTGGAACATCTGGCGCCACTGGGAAAAACTTGAGCACAATAAAATCATTGAGGGTACTTAGAGTGTTGCGCCCACTAAAAACAATTAAAAGAATCCCAAAACTTAAAGCTGTATTCGATTGTGTTGTTAATTCGTTAAAGGTTTTAATTGTGGGAATAAATAAAATTTAATCACTAATTTACTTAGAATGTCTTCAATATTCTTATTGTTTATTTTCTTTTTCAAGTAAGTTATTTTGATTTTGTAAATGAAATACAATTTTAAATAAACTTGGAATTGTAAATGAAATACAATTTTAAATAAACTTGGAATTGTAAATGAAATACAATTTTAAATAAACTTGGAATTGTAAATGAAATACAATTTTAAATAAACTTGGAATTGTAAATGAAATACAATTTTAAATAAACTTGGAATTGTAAATGAAATACAATTTTAAATAAACTTGGAATTGTAAATGAAATACAATTTTAAATAAACTTGGAATTGTAAATGAAATACAATTTTAAATAAACTTGGAATTGTAAATGAAATACAATTTTAAATAAACTTGGAATTGTAAATGAAATACAATTTTAAATAAACTTGGAATTGTAAATGAAATACAATTTTAAATAAACTTGGAATTGTAAATGAAATACAATTTTAAATAAACTTGGAATTGTAAATGAAATACAATTTTAAATAAACTTGGAATTGTAAATGAAATACAATTATAAATAAACTTGGAATTGTAAATGAAATACAATTCTAAATAAACTTGGAATTGTAAATGAAATACAATTATAAATAAACTTGGAATTGTAAATGAAATACAATTTTAAATAAACTTGGAATTGTAAATGAAATACAATTTTAAATAAACTTGGAATTGTAAATGAAATACAATTTTAAATAAATAATTAAACTTAGTTTCATTTACAATTACAATTAAATACAAATTTTATTTACAAACCAGCATTTGTAAAATAAATTAAAATTATAATTTTAGTTTATTTTTGCTGTCATAGCCGTCCAGTTGTTCAAAGGCCGTTTCTTTTACTGTACAGACAGAACCAAACGATTTGCTTCTGAATGTCATGGCCAATATTTTGTTTATGATTCTGGAGTTTGATTTAAAGAGATTCTCTTTTTCTAATTTTAATTTAGAATTATTTTCCACGTGTCGAAACAAGAGAATGGCGTCTCAGACCTTTTAATTATGACAATACCCTTAACGCTATGCTGACACTTTTTGTTGTTACGACTAGCGAAGGTGGAGAGATTTTCTGTTCCCTATTTTATAAAAAAAATTTTTAAAAAAAGGTTGGCCGGGCATTCGACAAAATTCTATGGACACCACATTCGAAGATCAGGGTCCCCAACCTTATTATCGGGTTGAAGTAATTATATTATTTAAATTTGTAATTTTTAATATCACAATTTTACAAAAGGTTGCACTCTTCTATGTAATGTTTTTCATTGTCTTTCCCTTTTTCTTTGTTAATATTTTTGTTGCCTTGATTATTATAACCTTTCAAGAGCAAGGAGAGGCTGAACTTTCTGAAGGGGATTTGGATAAAAATCAGGCAATTTTTTGAATTTTAAATTAATTAATAATTAATTTAAGAAACAATGTATTGACTTTGCCCTTAATGCAAAACCTCGTTCCCTTTTTATGGTAACAAAAAATATTTTTTTGAAAATTTATTAAATTTAGCCTGAAGACAAAAATTCTATTAAATATCGAATTTGGCGTTTAGTTACTTCCACACCTTTTGAATATTTTATTATGGCAATGATTGTATTAAATACTTTGATTTTAATGATGAAATACCACGGTGTTTTATTTTTATAAATTTTTGGGAATTTGTAATTACAAATGGAAATTATAATTTGTAATTGTAAACAAAATACAATTATTAATAAACTTGAAAGTGAAATACTTTTTAAATAAAGTTGAAATTATTAAAGAAATACATACTTTTAAATAAACTTAATTGTAACTATGAAACACGTTTTTAATAAACTTAAAAATACAACTTAAATACAATTTTTCAAGTTTTAATAATTGTAAAACTTGAGATTGTCAATAAAATACATGATTAATAATAAACTTGAATTTGTGAATATAATTTATTTTTAAGGTAATTCTGATACTTACGAGAAAGTTTTGAGTAAGTATATTGTAATTTTTAATTTATTTCTGAATTATAATTAATAATTTTAAAAATATAAATTATTTATTTAAATTTAAAATAATAATTTTAATTCAAAAAATAATTTATTTTATTTATATTTAATTTTATAGGAATATTTAACACAGCATTAACGGCTGTTTTTACCGTCGAATCCATCTTAAAAATTTTGGCTTTTGGCGTTAGAAATTATTTTAAAGATGGATGGAACAGATTTGATTTTATTACTGTTGTAGGGTCTATAACTGATGCGGTCCTTTTCTCAAAAAATTTTTTTCTAAGAATTTTTTTTCAATTTTTCAGTTAGTTACTGAATTTGGGGGCCATTTTGTTTCGTTAGGGTTTTTACGTCTTTTTCGGGCTGCTCGTTTAATTCGCCTTCTTCAACAAGGATATACAATTAGAATACTTTTATGGACTTTTGTTCAATCATTTAAAGTAATTTTGATGATTTCTTTTAAAAACTAAATTTACCATATAGGCTTTACCTTATGTTTGTTTGTTAATTGGAATGCTTTTCTTTATTTACGCTATTGTTGGAATGCAGGCAAAAAATTACTTTAATTTCTGAAATATTCAGAAATTTTTTTCAGGTTTTTGGAAACATTCAACTTGACCCAACTACAGAAATTAATAGACACAACAATTTTCAATCTTTCTTTAATGCTGTAATACTTCTTTTTCGGTATCTTAGTTTCAGTATTCAAAATCCATCCCCAGTATTCAATCATCATCTCTCACCGGGGATGTGTGGAGGTTCTCAACCTGAGACCGTTCCTGAAGCTAAAGCCACTACAACCCCTTTCCCGTGAAGACTAGATGGGGTTCCACGTTACACCTTAAATGTTAAACCCTAATCTCTATCTTTTTTGATAAATAAAAATGTTTTATAAGAAACTAAAAAATTCTTCAAAAAATAAAGTTGCGCAACCGGTGAGGCTTGGCAAGAAATAATGATGAGCTGTAATGGAGGAAAGCAATGTTCAAAGATAACTGTTGCTACAGCTACAACTACCGCTACCTGTGGAAGTCAACCTATAAGTATTGCTTATTTTACCTCCTTTGTGTTTCTTTCTTCTTTTTTGGTAATTATAAATTAAATAAAAATTATTTTACCTCACTAGTATAAGATAATCTTATCAAGTTATGGCGTGGGAGTATATTTGTTTAGAGAGTATATCACTAGAGGGAGTATATCTGTTAGGGTGTAATCTAGTATTAAACAGAAGTTTAAAAAATTGTTTCATAAATTCGTAGAGGTGTAATTTATAGTAGAGGTATAATTTATATATTTATATCTTTTTTGGCAATTTCTAATTATTATTTCAATTCACCATAAGATGCATTTTTGGGGCTAAGAATTCTCAAAAAATGTATCTTATTTATGGGAGTATATTGCTTAGACAAATTAGTTTTTAACCATAGTTTAAAAAAGAATACTTTACTTTCTAAAAAATCTAATATTATAATAAAATTTCTAAAGATGCTAAACTTATTCGTTGCTGTTATTATGGATAATTTTGATTATTTAACGAGGGATAGCTCTATACTTGGACCTCACCATTTAGATGAATTTATACGTGTATGGGCTGATTTTGATCCTACAGCAACGTAAATTGAAGAATATTTTTAGAGAATAATTTTATTAAATTTTTAGTGGTCGTATCCATTATTCTGATATGTATGAAATGGTAAATTAATTTAATTTGATTAATTTATTGGGGTTATTTGTTGGATACAGAGAAAGATTATTTTATAATGATTCCCAATCAGTAGAATTTTAAAAAACGCAAAACCAAAAATCACCCAAAACGCATTGCGATCCCTTGTTCGCAATATCAATTATTCTCTTGTAAAGTCGAGACTCAAATAGACTCTACTGACATCTACCTAAAATCAACTGTATTAAAGTGAGAGAAGAGTAACTTACTATGTGATCTCTAACTTCTTGTTTTTTATTCTTAAAGATATGGTTGAGTTTTCAGGCCGACGTTCGAGTTATTTTTTCGGGCTTCATTTTTATCGGTCGGGCTGACCGAGTCGTATTCGGGCCAAAATTCGATGCCCAACTCGATCTTTCGGACCAAACCGGGCCCCCAACCCTAATTAAGAATATATTTAATTATTTATTTCTTTAGCTACGTAATATAGCTCCTCCTGTCGGATTCGGAAGAAAATGTCCTTATCGGCTAGCCTACAAACATCTTATTCGGATGAATATGTACTCTTTAAATTATTTTAATTTAATTAAAAAATTATGTCTTTTAATTTAAAAAGGCCTGTTGCCGATGACGGAACAGTTCATTTTACAACAACCTTGTTTGCTTTAATTAGGGAATCTTTAAGTATTAAAATGAGACCTGGTGATTTTTTAAAATTAATTTAAAAAAAATTTTTTTTAGTTGAGGAAATGGATGAGGCTGACGAAGAATTACGTCAAACTCTTCGCAAAATTTGGCCTCTAAAATCAAAGAAAAATATGATTGACCTTGTTGTGCCTCCAAATGGAGGTAAATGTTTCCATAAATCTCTCTCTCATTTATATTCGGATTTTTTGTTTTTCTCTCATTATTTTTTTCTATTTTCTTCTTCAGATTTATGCTTTCAAAAGCTTACTGTTGGTAAAATATATGCTGGACTTTTAATTCTTGAAAATTGGAGGGCACGTAAATCTGGGGTTGAGGTAATCGAAATGATAAAAAATCTTATTATATAATTGAGAAGAGTGTGTCTGTCTGTCTGTTTGTCCTTTTATAGACAAGTGGGTTTTTATAGTAAAATGATTTGGGGGAGTGAAGAAATAGGGGCTTTTATAGTAAAGCGTTGCCAGTTGAATTGAGTTGTAAGGGTAAGAATATAGTATAAAAGCAGGGTATTTTGGTCAGTCCTCAACTGCAAGTGCTAGACGTCAACGTTCAGACGTTGACATTGTCTCAAGTGCTAGACGTCAACGTTCATCTGTCAAGTGCTAGACGTTAACGTTCATTTGTCTCAAGTGCTAGACGTCAACGTTCATTTGTCAAATGCTAGACGTCAACGTTCATTTGTCTCAAGTGCTAGACGTCAACGTTCATTTGTCAAGTGCTAGACGTCAACGTTCATTTATCTCAAGTGCTAGACGTCAACGTTCATTTGTCAAGTGCTAGACGTCAACGTTAATTTTTCTCAAGTGCTAGACGTCAACGTTCATTTGTCAAATGCTAGACGTCAACGTTCATTTGTCTCAAGTGCTAGACGTCAACGTTCATTTGTCAAGTGCTAGACGTCAACGTTCATTTATCTCAAGTGCTAGACGTCAACGTTCATTTATCTCAAGTGCTAGACGTCAACGTTCATTTGTCTCAAGTGCTAGACGTCAACGTTCATTTGTCAAGTGCTAGACGTCAACGTTCATTTATCTCAAGTGCTAGACGTCAACGTTCATTTGTCAAGTGCTAGACGTCAACGTTAATTTTTCTCAAGTGCTAGACGTCAACGTTCATTTGTCAAATGCTAGACGTCAACGTTCATTTGTCTCAAGTGCTAGACGTCAACGTTCAATTGTCAAATGCTAGACGTCAACGTTCATTTGTCTCAAGTGCTAGACGTCAACGTTCATTTGTCAAGTGCTAGACGTCAACGTTCATTTTTCTCAAGTGCTAGACGTCAACGTTCATTTGTCAAATGCTAGACGTCAACGTTCATTTGTCTCAAGTGCTAGACGTCAACGTTCAATTGTCAAATGCTAGACGTCAACGTTCATTTGTCTCAAGTGCTAGACGTCAACGTTCATTTGTCAAGTGCTAGACGTCAACGTTCATTTTTCTCAAGTGCTAGACGTCAACGTTCAATTGTCAAATGCTAGACGTCAACGTTCATTTGTCTCAAGTGCTAGACGTCAACGTTCAATTGTCAAATGCTAGACGTCAACGTTCATTTGTCTCAAGTGCTAGACGTCAACGTTCATATGTCAAATGCTAGACGTCAACGTTCATTTGTCTCAAGTGCTAGACGTCAACGTTCATTTGTCAAGTGCTAGATGTAAAGTGATAGGCGTCAAATTTCAGGCGAATATTGAAAGGTGGAATTGTGAAGCAGGCGGAATATTGAAGCAGGGGGAATAGTGAAGCAGGCGGAATATTCAAACAAGGAATTGTGAAGCAGGCGGAGTCTTGAAACAGGTGGAATTGTGAAGCAGGCGGTATTGTGAGGCAAGAGGAATAGTGAAGCAGGCGGAATTTTCAAACAAGATTAATTGTGAAGCAAGCGGAATATTTAAGCAGGGAAATTGTGAAGGAGGCGGAATATTTAAACAGGTGGAATTGTGAAGCAGGCGGTATTGTGAGGCAAGGGGAATTGTGAAGCAACGGGAATTGTGAAGCAGGCGGAATATTGAAGCAGGGGGATTGTGAAGAGGCGGAATATTGAAACAGGGGGAATGTGAATCAGGCGGAATATTGAAACAAGGTGAATTGTGAAGCAGGTTGAATATTTAAACAGGGGGAATTTTAAAGCAGTCGGTATTGTGAGGCAAGGGGAATTGTGAAGTAGGCGTAATATTGAAGCAGGGGGAATAAAGGGGGATGTAAAGCAGGCGGAATATTGAAACAGAAGGTATTGTGAAGCAGGCGGAATATTGAAGCAGTGGGAATGAAGGGGGATTGTGAAGCAGGCGGAATATTGAAAAAGGGGGGATTGATAAGCAGGTGGAATATTGAAACAAGGTGAAGTAGGTGAAGTATTTAAACATGGGTAATTATGAAGTAGGCGGAATTGTGAGGAGAAAAATGGGTCAGCGAGATTGGTCGGCCAAAGGCTTTTGAATCGGATCTTAAGACGAATAGTTTTGTTATGCTAGAGGAGTCACACCAGCACCTTTGTGTATCCTATCAGGTGCATTTATTAGATGATTTGCTTTGTTAAATGTTTTGGTAATCAGGAACTGTTTTAATGCTGGTCAATGTTTTGATGATCGGGTTTTTACGTTTATGATTGGATTAGGGCCAATTTTGAGGTTGTGATAAGTTGGTTTGGAGTTTGTTTTTTGGTTTGTTTTTGCTAGCGGGGTGGGGCGGCCGAAGGCCGACCAACTCCGCTAGTTATTTAAAATAATAAAAAGGAATTTTTTGTTTAAAAATCTAATTTTGATTAGTTTGAAATGATTAAACGTCGATATGCAGCAACTATGCTGTTGAGACCTGCTCGAGAAATAACCACAAAATTTGGGAACCTTTTGGGAGAGGTTTATATTTAACTACTCGAATTATTCGAGTAGTTAATTGTAGTCCGTTTTTTATTCATTCATTGTTTTTATGTCTCTTCCCTTTCGGTATTTGTCCAAATTTTTAATTCCATTCATATTTTAATATTTTAAATCGGATCTCAATTTAAAATATACAGTAAAGCAGCTGGGCTATAGCTATTTGTCTCCTTTAGCTAGTGCAAAAGGTTAATCGGCGGCTGGGAGCGAACCAGCATCTTCAGTATACCAGACTGATGTGTTAGCCATTACACCACGCCGCCTACTGCACAGCCTTAGGAAATTAATAGATATATGCTTTACAATACTCTTGGAACTGAAAAATCTTATATGTATTATAAAGAAGAATCTTATACAATATGATTTTCTCGATTACCATCACTCGACTAATTACCAACCATCTCTTCTTTCCAATTTAAATTTTATTTTTGAATTAAATTGAAAGGATAATTGGGAGAGATCTAAAACAGCCCATTGGCAAACTAAATCTAATAATTTTATCCTAAGCAAGTTGTATCTTATTATGGATCATTACACTAAAGTAAAACAAAGGTCCGATTGAAAATATTTTATTTCCCTTCATTATTTTCCTTTTTTAAAATTTTTTCCTTCCATATTAATATTTTTTAATAATTCTGGAATTAAAAAATAAATTAATATTTTCCAGATTGGGGGCGGTGGTTTGTTTGGCGGTGGTTTACGTGGTTTGGTTGCTGCTGCTAAGGTTTTATAGAACAACTCCAACTTCGTTTCAGTTTTATTTGTAAATTTAGTCTGCTGCTGGCCAACAACAACAACAGCCACCAGTTAATGACCAAGAGGGGGAAATTGACTCTCCTTCGGTCGAACAATATCATCCAGTTAGATATGGTGGAAGGAAAATATCTCCTCCAGCACAGATTGGGGTAGGGTTTCTATTATAGTTGGACCCCACTTGTACTTCACCTCTCGAATAGAAAAATCTGACATTTAAGGGAGATTGCCCTGCAATTGTGGTGACGTACAAGAGTGGAGTCCGACTTTTTTGCCATTAACATGCTTCATTGTATTATTTACCAATTTAGCGTCCCTACTCAATTTTCTCAACTTTGGTTGATACAATACATCGGAATAATAAAACTGGGGAGAATGAAGTAAATTCTTGTGTCTTTTTAATCAAAAATTTAAAAAATTAGGGGGATGATATAAACACAATTGCTGAGGAAGATACTTCCGAAGCTGCCCATCAATTACCACGTCGGAGAAGGCAGAATGCCTACGACAGCGATTTTCGCAATCAGCAACTTTTACATTCTCGATCGCCCTCTCCCTTTGATGATTCTCAACAACATTCGATTCCAATAATTAGGCATCCAATTTTATATACTAGACAACATGAACTTGGTAACTTGGCTTCATCTAAGAATAATTCTTGGAGAAAATCAAAATTAAAAAATATTTTTTAGAGGAGCGTTTTAGACATCATCCAGCAATTGGTCTACAACCTGGGGACCAATACCAGTTTGCTAGTGAATATGACAGGAAACATAGAAGTCGAAGTAGCAGCTATGCTGATACACAAAATGAGGCAATAAGGACATCACAAAGGCGAAAACTTCCTTCTACGGTAGGAGAGAAATTGAGGGCTTATTAAATTAAAAAAACGGAATATTTCAAAAAAATTTGAGAAAAATTAATCAAATTAATAATATTATCAAAAATTTATTTAAAAATAATTATATTTTTAATAACAGCAACATTTACGAAATATTCCCCAACCTCAAAACATCGATATTAATGAATACAAAAATATTCGACAACATTCTCCTGTCCAGTCTTCTACCTCTTCGACATGCTCAGAATGTAGACGGGGGAGTATAACTGCATCTTCTACCTCTTCAAACTCTTCAGACGCAACTACTTGTTGTTCCTCTTGTGAGAGTTCTGGTACTCTTTCTTCTCGACATAACCAACTTTCGCCTCCAGCTACGGATGATTATTCACAATCAGAAATCGCCTCTTCCTCTATACAATTAGTAAAAGATTTATTAATAAATAATTCCTTTATTAATTTTATAGCCAACAGTTAGGCGAATTCAACCCCAACAAAATCGACCACAGCCCAGAACACATCTAGAAATTAGAAATGACCAAAGACCACCTGAACAGCAACAACAACAACAGCGTTATTCTCAACGAAAATTGCCTGTTATAAGACCTGGTCTCTATAATTATTTATTTCAATTCCCTTTTTTTACTTTCCAGGATCACCCTCAATACTAAGTAGCCAATCATCTTCTTTAGTTTATCAACAACCAAAAATTTCAGTTCCAAATATCAATAGATATAAACAACCTGTTGCAGCCTATTACTTGGCTCAGCAGGAACAATCACAACAAAGACAGCCTGCTGAATTTACAAATTATTATAACCGTACTGGATTTAGTAACTCGTCGCCAAGAGGTACTAGAAACTAGTAAAATATTAAATGATATGACTAGGACTGATAGTTGGAGCTGAAAAAATCTCAATAATATTGCGCTAAGCTTAAGGGAAATTAAAAAATTTCTTAAAGAAAGTAAAAAAGTTCATTAAAATCCTTCCAATATTTTTCTACTTTTACAATTTTTGAATATAGGACCTCTATTTTAGATATACTATCGGAGCTGCGAGACTATTTGTATCGCTTTATCTTAAAGGGTATCGTTTGACACCCCCATCTAGTATATAATTACTAGAGAGGTCTGATTGTAGTCCTATTTCTACCGAAAGCTTTATTTACGAATCAAATTTGACACTTTGTTATCCTATTTCCAACTCCTACCTACTGTTTATGAATTCCCACTTCAAATTCTTTAAAAACATTTATTAAGGTCCTCTCGGTCGTTGGGCAATTCAACGTGCAGCAACTATTGCAAGTACCTCAGCTGCTCCAACGGGTACATCTTCATCAGCAACACTTCCTCGACGTTACAACAACAATCAACAACAACACCAACAATCCCAACAACAACAAAAATACTCCCAACAATTTACTCCCTCATATAATAATCAAAATCGTCGAGTTTCTGGTTCAGCTTCATCCTCAGCTTTGGATAGTGTTGACGTAGACAATTCACAAACAATAACTAATCGTTTATTGCCACAACAAAAACAACAACAATCATCTTCAAATAACTTAAAAACTACTAATTCTAGTTCTATTTCTCCCGGTGATATTGTAATATGGGCAAGACCGGGTAATGTCCCTTTGAGTGATTCTGAGGAAGAACCTCCTATTTAACAAATAAAAAAAACGGTGCAGAAAGAAAAATATATTAAAATTGTTTTGCTCAATTAAATCTCAATGTCAAGCCTCATTATCATTATAAGACACTAAACATTACTTACAAGGCATGATTTTTTCAGCTTCAAATGATTATCTTATAATGAGCCCAATATAGTTTTTTTATTCCTGTTTTAGATTCTCAATGTTAAAATTTTTTTTGGAAATATTTCTAAAAGACTTTTAATTTAGAATTCCGCCAATAAAACTTGTTGTGTCCGTACTTGCAGAAAGAATATAAATGAAAATAAATAACCCATTGTCGGGTTGGATGGTGGCACAGTCGTTGTGCTTCGGTTTGGGCCCTTTCCGTGATGGTTCAATTCCATCTCCCATCCAATGAATTTTTCCACAGCATGCATGAAGTCGTATACAATAAAACTCTCTAATAACATGAAATTTCCATTTATCGTTGGCCTAATCAGGTCCCGATGGTGACATTGTATGTATAAGCGGCATTCCATTATTTTATTTCCAAAATTTAATACTTCCCAATAAATCGCCAAATTTTGTTTATTTTAAACTTTTTTTTGTTTATGATCTCATTTAATAAATAATAAAAGATCTTAATTTTTACGTTAATCTGTCGTATTTTTTAAAAATAGTTTTTGCTTTTAACTTTGAAATATTTAAAAAATTAATTGTTTAAATACAAATTTACAATAACATTTTGTGTAAAATATTCGATAAATTCGAAGGTTTTTACCAAAAACCAGCTTGGCCCCCTATATTTTTTTGAATTCTAAAGTCCTGTCAGTTTAGTCCAAAAAATTTTACCACTATCATTGCTTTATCGACCGGATCCAGTCAGATTTTTCCGAATTAATCCTGCCCGGTTTTACTCTTGTAAAAATGATTTTAAACTGTCTGAATTTATTCATATTCTGGACTCAGAAATTTTTTCATATTTATAAAAAAAAATTTTTTTAGTATTTTTCGCACTAAATTTTTTTATTTTTAGAGCCAATATTAGAGCCAAATAATCGAAAAAAATTCGCTTAGATTCTATTAGTAATCGTTGATCACGTTGAATAATACAAGAGGAATGTTGAAAAATTAAAAGGAAAAAGTTAAAAAAATGATAAAATTTTTAAATAAGACATTAAACTATTTCTATTTAATTAAAAATTTTTTAATTACCGAATTTTTGGATTTTTTATTTTTAAAATGATTTTACTTAGTGCACTGCCCTTTTATTTAAATAGACTATTTTTAATTAAAAGGGCATTCACATGAAAATAAATTTTTTTAAAAGTAATTTCCTGTTAATTTCATAACATTAACTAAATTCACCGCCAATCCTCTTTCCTGTGTTTTAGGAGCCCCATAGTTTTTATAAATCAAAATTGGGTAAGTAAAGAAAAGTTTATTTTTAAATTTACACATTGCCCTATTGTATATTTTTGAATTTTTAAAATTTATTTTCACACAAATATCATTTCTAATTTCATAACATGTTTACTGATCAAATACTTTCTATCTTTCCGTTTTAATAAATTATTACTGAACCGCAAGTGAAATAACACCAGTTAAAAATAAAATCATAACTTTAGAATAATCACAACTTGTAAATTGAAACTGTAAACTGTAAATTCTGATTTTATAAAAATAGAATCAGAATTGTAAAAAAGAAAAATAAAATCAGAAAAAATGTTTAATTTTATCAGATGTTGTTAGCATGCTTAGCACTAGTTTTGTTGTTGTAAGTTGAAGTACTTGGTAATCATTGTTAATTTTATTCTTTTTTGTTCTTTCTATTCTCGCTATCCTGTTTAACTTTTTTTTTTGGTATATCCGGCAGATCCGGATTATCTCGGCCAATTTTCATTTTTATGAAAAATGCAGAAACATGTCGACTGAGATACGAATAGAGCTTTCGATTGATATATAGAACGTATTTTTTGAATGAAAAATTAAGAATTAAGAAAATTTTCTAGCGCTTCCATACTTTTTTCCACGACTGTAGAACCAAAAAAACAATTTAAATTTTTAATAAAAAATAAAATTATTTATTAACAATTAACAGTCGATTTGATAAAGTCGATTAGACATAGTATATGTATATTTATTAAATAAATGCTTTCAAAAGTCAAAAAGGGCAACTCTCTATTCAGCCCCCCTCTGTTTATTCACTTTAATTGCTTTAAAAATTAATGAAATTTATTAAATTTTATTTAATTAACTTTAATAATTAAAAATTTTAGCAAAAATGTATTTAATTATTAAATTACTTTTAATTTTTCTTTTGACAATTTTATTTTTCTGCAAAGCAAAATTGTTGAAAGAACAAATTACTTGTGTAAATGATTATCTTTTGCTTTCTAAAAACCTCGAAACAGAAATTTATGCGGAGAAAAAAGGGAATAAATGGAAAGTTAAACGAGGAATTAACAAAAATCTTCTTAAAGATTATTTTGAAGATGACTTTGTTATAGAAAAAGAAAAAATGTCTAAAGTCATGGGAGAGGAATATGCAAATAATTGTTTTGAATTAAACAAAGAATTGGTTGAAAAATACAATGAAAAATTATTTAATAAATTAAAAAATATATTATTAATGAGAAAAGATGGTGTTTTTAGTTACAAGGATTATTTAAATAAATTTACTAAAAAAGCTAATTTTATTTTATCGGCAAATATTCAGAAGGAATTAGGTAAGTAAAAAAAGCTTAGAATAATTTAAAATAGGTATGTAAAATTTTTTAAAACAAGGGATGCTTTGTTTAATTTATAAAATTAATTAAATATTTTATAGGGGTTGGAATAAGACCCCATTCAAGCCTTTTCAAAAAAATTTTTTTTTATTTTGAAGAAAATCCCCAACAATCACATCCCCGGACAAACACCCAAACTGAACTTGCGTTCCTACCATAAATTTTATATTAAACTTTTCTTTTAATCTCTAAAATTTGTTTATCTTCATAAAAGGCTATAACTACTACTTAGAAGTGTTTTGAAACAAAGTTTCGAAAATGATAAATCGAAATCTCGATCAATTCTGCTACTATACACTGCGTGGCAAAAGTTCCCGTACTTTTATTAAGCATAAAATTTATTTCAAATATTTTCTTAAATTTTATAAAATTTACAAACATAGCTCTCAATTGCTGGTATAAATCTTTGTTTATTTTTAAGAAGGAGTATCATTTTGTCTGGCTGATAAAATATATGAATTTCATAATAAAGCTGGAATAGATAATTTATTTACAATTTTATATCAACCAAAAAATATAAATAATGCCAAAAATGCTATTTTAGATAAATATAAAATAAATTTTGGAAATAAATTTTATGTAATAAAACTGAATTGGGAAATGGTAGATTTTGATATTCTTAAGGAAAATATTGGAGAATTAACAAAATGCTCTGACTTTATTAAACAAGGAAGGTAAATAGACATTGGATTAAATAGAGAGTCGGATCTCGTTTATGTGTAAACTTGGTGCATGGGTGACCGGAATAAAAAAATTTTTTCTGCCTGGCACCAAAATTTTTTTCAACCGAGTGACGAGCACTAGTAATGTGTTACAAAAACTCGGTGTTTTTTTCGCTATGATGACAATTGTAGAGTGACAATCGCTGATTTTATTTAACCACAAAATTCACGCACAACTTTTACTGATTTTACCGTTAAAAGTAAATACCAGAATAAACCTATTTTCTAGAGTTTCTGAGAAATTCCTTACAATGATTGATGGAAGCCAGCTATATTTTGATAAATTTCCTGATAAAGGTATATTTCTATTAAATTATAATTCGAATGGGTATCACTATGGTTGTAGTTTTCGAGTCAGCCCGACGTTCGAAGCATTCTTCATTAGGCGTGTATTTATTTTTTGTGAGGGCGTGGAGCCCTTACAAGAGTAGCATTGGATCTTCGACCTTCGGGTCGGAGATCCAATGCTCGACACGATCTTTCAGTCTGAGTCGGTCCATTTTGGCTACCTAGTTACCATCTATTAATACAGCAACATTTTTAAAAAATTTTAAAGTTTCAACATTTAACGATATTGAAATTAACGAAGAATTTAAAGAAAAAAATAAGGATAAAGAGTGTTTTTGTTTGGATGATTTAATAGAATTAGAAAATGAAAAATATAGAGAAATTCAACAAATAACTGAATGCAACGTTAGTTTAAAGTAGAGTACGTC